GAAAGTAGTATTGCTTTTAATAATAATTATTATTATCATAACAAATAATAATAATGATAATAATAATAATAATAGTACTGTAACAGATGTGGTTCTGAGTGCGATCCTTCAAATTATTTATACCGTATAAGGTTATTTTTCTTTGAGGTAATTTTGTTTTTTGAATGATTTTGTGAATTTAAAAAATTTAACAATAATTTTTAGAGACAATTTGACAAGTGATATGATAGATCAATTTAAATTTACAAATACACAGACACAACTGAAAATAGAAATTAATTACAAATCTGAATTACAAGTGTATTTTAAAATAAATTTTTAGATGTATTCGCATGATATTTAGATGGTAAGTCTCTTTTAAATCAGTATAATAACTTACTTTCGACTAATAGAAGTGAAAAGAGTGCTAAAGTCAGCACTAATCTATCATATACTTTTAGCATATTTTCTCAATATCATGTTAATATACATTTTACACAAATTTTTGCGACATAATGCTTATCAAATAGTTAAAAATACTAAAATAGAGCAGCAGAGCTATTGATATATAAAGTTGAAAAGCAAAACAGTGTGAAATTAATCAGGCTAAAAGATAATCAGCTCGAACTTACAGGTCATCAAAAATTTCATCTAAATTAAATTGTATTCAAAATTTTCAGAAATTAGAAGTTAACATTGCACAGAATTACACTTTCGGTTATTATTGTTGATAATGATTTTTTATAGATTATTAAAAACTATTATCATAGTTTATTAGAGCCATTTTATAAAGTTATTTAAGTGTGTTCAGCTTCAGGACTAATCCTAATTTAAAGGATATATAACAGTGCCATGCGCAAGATGTGTTGCGCAAGATGTCATAACACGTATTATTCTAAGAATATGATAGTTTTGAAGATGTCATGTAGTAAGGAGATGATCAGTAGATGGTTTCAATCACTTGCTGATCACTGATGTGTAAATTCAACAGCAGGTGGCTCATATGTGACTGATACTTTTTGCTTCAATAGCGCAGTTCATCTCGTACTGTTTCCGCTTCAATAATTACAATCAGAATTAATTTTTTACATTTAATTATTCAACTACTTGTGTTTATGTATATATTTTCATAGATACAACGAATAATTATATTACTTAGAATAAAATCATAGTAATCAATACTTTCAAGTTTATAAATGAATGACTTTAATCATATTTTATTTTACTCATTAAATAATTCAATTATCTGTATTTTAATATGTGACCTTTGTATCTATCAATTTTTGGCAACAGTACTGCAATAAGTGTAATATTTTGAACTATATATTGTCAAAAATTTAAATAATTTGTATCAAATATCGTTTTTTTACATTTATTCAGTATTTGCGCGTTTATATTTATTAACGTATTTACACGTTACTAAACTTCAATTTCAATAACACCTGAAGAAATATTACGAATTACGTTTATAGTAATGAAAAGTATTGAAAGTTAGCTTTCGATAACGTTTACCACAAGCAGCGCAGCACACCCACACGTTGTAATTTAACATTCATATTTTTGTTAGATACAAATAAGCATTTAGGTTAAGCAAAAATTAAATAAAGTTGACAAAGTCTTCAGAATGATTTTTCGGTTAAATCTGAGTGCTTCTGATTAATAATTCACTTTCATGAGCAATCAGAGTAGAAGTAATCTTACTCTATACTTTAACTTATTAAAATTTATTACTACAAACTATTGGTCTTTTCGTTTTCTTAGCAAACTTTTATTTGTTTACTTTTGTAAGGTCACACTAAATGAAATATAATTTTCAGCTATGTGCAATGAGTGGAAATAACACTGATGATTATCCGCATAATTACTTGCACGAATTCATGCTTCTGTTCATCAAATATTACTTATTCATTACAGCTTATTCATTTGTTCAATATTTACGTGAAAATAACCTATTAATAACAGTCTCAATATCTGCAATTTTTACTAGCTTATTTAATAGCTGTAAACTCTAAATTTGTACAGTGATAATTTGTGAAATAGTTATTAATTTAGTAATTATATCGATAACAAATTAATCTCAACTGTAAGTTTTTTATATCAGTCAATTGACGACTGCTAATTTTACTCTATTTTATTTTATATGTTTATGGTACAGAATAAAATAATACAGAATAAAATGAGATAGAATGATAGAATAACATGAGATAGAATAAAAATATAAAAAAAGACTGAATTTTTGTTTTTTCGCTCTTAATTAATGATGTTTTGTTTTGTATGGTAAATGTACGATTTGAATATGCAAGGATTTTGT